TTTGACGCAATCATGTGCTTACTCTCATAATATTAAGAAATGCATCACATTTTATTCAAGGGTACATTTCTGAGACGATAAGGAAACAACTCTACAATAGTACAAAGTCTGATTATCAGTGTTATAAAGAGTGTGTGTATTTAGGTAAAACTACGTGTTTTAAGTTCGAATTTTGACCTTGCCATCTAGTTACATAGAACTTGAAACTTGACATTTTTGTCTAACCACACTTTACTTTTTTTAGAACAACGTTGATTATATATCTATTTAAAGATATAATTACGTCAAATCGTATCATTTTTACAATCAGGTAGCACCAGAATTGGATGTAGGGATCATTCCCTCACCTTGGGCCGTGCCAAAGATACTTAGGGCATGTCTGGAAATGATTATAAGTAAAATTCCTACCGTTAAATGCCTTTTTGTTACCGTTGGGCACCTAATCCGCCTGCCTTTGTTGACCAACTCTATCTTGTGTGGGTCCCAGCAGAGAAAGAAACGGTCTAAAAATTGATTGGAAGAAGCAATGCCAGACAGGTCCTTAGTTACTTTTAAGATTGAGATTATATATGAAACATTTACGAGTTGAAATATTAAGTGTACAATTTTTACTAACTAGAATGTCAACCAAAATTATGTACATTTTGTTGTTAATTTTTGTCCTTCCTTTATATATACAATGTATTTATTCAAATAATAATCTCAATTTTAATTTGTCAATTGTTTTCATTTTCAATTGCTAACATAAGCTTGACTCAGATAGAGCCAACATTCGTGCCAGATTGAAATTTGTCGACGCTTGCGACCTAAAACTGATTGACACGATTTGATTTACATCTTTATGTCTATCTTCTTTAGTTAATGAGTATATTCGGGACATTCGATTGAGGAAAAGTGATAATTATATATACCATCTTTTTTTATTTTTTGTTTAATTCTTTAAATAGAAGGTGAAGTTAAACTCTTGTTTGGTGGTCATTATTGAGAAAAAAAGTAGGGTAAGCTTTTGATCTACGTGCAAAATATTTTATTATGTGAATATTTCATCATATATAGTTGAAAATAAGTATAAAAATTAAAGAGTTTTGTTTAAAGGGAAAACAAACGGAACCTGAATAGACCCTTCTTGGCTACCTGTGGTGTGACCAGTTTCCCTATTCGCTAAGGTCATTTTGGAGTTATTAGCTTCAGGTTTCCATGTGAATTTTGAGTAACTGGGTTGATGCCCTTTGACTAGCCTATAGGCTATACCTTCCCTTCGGAACCGGGACTACATGTCCAAACCACCTATCAAATGCAATCCTTCAAACGCTACTGATTTTGAATTAGGTTTAGCAGTCGCTGACGAATGTTAAGGGCGTGTTCGGTAGAGATTAAAATTGAAAAATTAACCGTTATTGTTGACTTTTATTAGACGAGTGGGACCCAATAACGGACATATTTTCAATTTTAATTGGATTTTAAGTTGTATCGAACATGCCCTAAATAATTTTAATTTTTGGTTAGTTGAACCAAAATGGAAACGTTTCGTGGTTCAAAATTGTTGAATTTCACCCGAGTCTTCATTTGTTAGGATTCTTCGACGTAAGTTCTTTAACTTGGACAAAACGTATTTACATGTCACTATTCTTAAATTAAAATGGAATAATTTTTGAGATATTACTGCATTCCCGTGGCGGTTGGTAAAATTGTGAAACAAGGTTGGCAAGGATGATTGTTGAGAAAGGGATGGTGATCATACGGTAGAATTTTTATCGGTTAAGTTGCCGAAAACAGTCTACTGAAAATTTACTCTTTATAAGTAATAGACTTGTGTATTACAAATTGAAAGCTGATGACCTATTTAATCTATTTTAAATAGATTATGGACCCTACATGTAATTTTTTGTTTTGGCTGCAATCGCTCCTAAAATCAATTTGGATTCCGCANATTGAACGCTGATGACCTATTTAATCTATTTTAAATAGATTATGGACCCTACATGTAATTTTTTGTTTTGGCTGCACTCGCTCCTAAAATCATTTTGGATTCCGCAACCCTCGTCGAGCTCGCCGCCTCGCCGTCTCTTCTTTCGGACGTATACAGTGCCTGCGCGCACTCACTTTCTTCTTAACTCACACACACAGACTTAAAACGAACAAAAAGAGAGAAGATTAGTACTGAAATTCGCTTTCAGAATTAACAATGACCAAGAGAGAGCTGTCCAGCACTTTAAAGAACTTGAAGGTATTTAAATATCAGTATGTTAATTCTTTTTCTTGTTTAAAATGTGAAATATAATTCGATTGAACTGGGTTTTCGTTTAATTAATCTGGGTATTTTTTGATTTGCTTTATTCTGTCGTCTCTGAGCTCAATATTGTTACATTTGATTTCAACTTCTTTTCGTTTTTCCTTTGTGTTTTTTACAGTTTATGCAAAGGACAGCGCAGAAAGAGGAGATAGGTAAGAAGGAAGAAGAGGTCACACCTGCTGCAGATTTCTCTTCATCTAGTATCCCTAAAAAATGGTATTTTACTTTTATATTTCAATTTTTTTTCCCTTTTGTACATATTGAAAGTTAAGCAATTTTTATATTTCTTCAATGTGATCTACTTGCAATTTAAAGAAAACTCTCATTCATATGCAATTTGATCACGTTTAACTATGTTTTGTAACCTTATGTTATTGGGTGCATCTAGACACGTGTAGTTAGTATTTCATATATTTGGTCGATACTTGACAACATTGGCTAATGGTTGCTTGAAACTCTTTCTTTCTATGAGTGCAAAATAGATTAATTAGACAAAGAAAGCCTCCACGATGCAAACGTCTAAATCACGATTCTGCCATTATCCTGAATCGAAAAGGAAATTCTAATCCTATTGTTTATATTATGGTTTAATACACTCAGTCTCATTGAAGCGAGGAGAAGTGACGTGCTTTATGGAAATTTGATCATAATGGATCTACACGCTTGTTTCAGTTTAGCGTCAAATTGTAACAGCTATGGGCATCTGCGGTTACAAATCTAGATTTGACTTTTACAAATTTGATCTGTGGCTGTTGTGATCTGACGTGATAGATGACGGGGATACCTTGTCATATTTTTGCTTCTGCACTGAAACTTGAAAATGTGATTTATAGAAGATAACATTTTTGTTTAAACGGATAGTAGCCTATGATCGTTCCTAGGAACGGAGGAGTGGAACATTTACGTTAGGATAAGTATTATGAGTTTTTTCGAAGCCATAAAGTATGTAAGTTTTGAGGTACCTTGTTTTGTTACAAGAGACGGGAGGGGAGGGAGAGGGGAAGGAGAAATTTTTTTCTTATGTTATACCTTGTTCAATACAAGAAAGAGGAGATGGAAGGGAAAGGAGGAGAGAGATTTAGAGGAAGATGAGGAATATTATTTTTGTTTGTGTTTAGTAGTTACCATTGTTTCCTCTTTATTAAAAATTATGGTTTAGGCTATATTTAATCTTTTTAGTCCTTTGCCTAGTCTTAAGCCTCCACTTTGTGAGGAATGAGCAAAGTTTCACCTGCTTCCACTTTCTGTCTGCCTAGTCTTCATTACCGTACTCAGAAATCAGCTTTCAGTAGATGTATATAAGTAGTCTCCTCTGGGATCACATTTCTTTGTCTAATTATTTTTGTTTTTATATGTCCTGAATCAGGTGCTATATTGAAATATAAAGATTACTATTCTCATTTTATAATCACGTTCTTTTCTTTATAATGCCAGAGTTCTCTATTTTATTTTATTTGTTCCACTTTATGTTCAAATGCAGTGTTGTTATTGTGGAAGGGGATCCCCATCCTGTGGCAATAAGAGGTCGGATGTCATTTCTATGTTTTAACCCTTCTATTGATGTGAGTATAAGAGGTAGCATAATATTTAATTACTCTTATAATTTGAATTTTGGCCATCTTACACTGTAACTTTGTTTTGGTAGAAACTCAATGAAGGTCATCAACCAGAAGCCTCTACTACAAATTCTGGGCAACAAAGTGAAACAATATCTACCAGGTTTCATTCCCTTACTTTTTGATCATTATTGACGCGATATTTAAATATTGAATATAAGAGCTTATCATGTCTTAAACTTTGATTTTTGGTGGACAAATTTTGCCAGAAATTGCTTTTTTACTGTCACTTAAGATTTAAGATGGATGACATGAACTCATGACAAGTTTCACAGGATATTTACTTGATACATTTCTAAATTGATGCTTATTATTACTTAGGGTTTGTTTGTGCCCCATTTTTTGATAAATAGATTTTGTAATAGTTATTTTGAAGAATGTGTGATTAAAAGAGAGAAGAAGTTTTGGGTTTGCATGTAATATTATATTATTGGAAGAATGTGTGACTGAAAATGAGTTTGGGAAAAATTGAGTTTTGGGGCTCAAACAAGGGCTTATTTTAGCAAGCTTTCAAGTAAGCTCATTTTCTATGGGGTTACACTGTTAGTCCCTAGTTCCACTGTATGTAAACATTTGATGAAGATTCCATTGGAGAATTGTCAAAAACACGCCCTTTGTCTACGCGTAAATGTAGAAGTATGTTATGATTTATTATCTTGTAATAGTAATTATTTACAATCGAAAAAATTTTGGATTTCAAAATATAGACAATTATTGGTGATATTAAGTGAAATTGATTTACTCTAGATTTCTCTCCCAATTCTTGTTCTCTTTTTGTTTTTTCTCTCTTCCTTCTATTTGTTTTTCTCTTTTATCTTTCCTGTTTTGCGTCAATGGTACAAAGTGTAATTTGCTATTGACTTATTTGCGAAGGATAATACTTAGATCTGACCTGATTTTTAGGATCTTCCTCCAAACTAGACACTTGTCACATGAGAAGGTTCCACCTTCTATTGCTTAGCATGCCAATTTTTAGTTATTTGCTTCAACCTGCTTTCCTTTTATCTTATTTTTTCACATTGTAATGGTTATAGGAAAATGAACACTAATCGAACTTCATATCCTTCCCGTAAACAACTGCAATTAATAATAGCTGTTTTTTATTATCACTTAAAATTGACAGTCAGGAGCTTGCCTCTTTGGGAGAACAATTAAATTAACCACGAGATAATTGAAAGCCCTTTTGGCGTGTATTATCCATGAAAAGGAATTAGAATGCATCTTTGCTTGATTATACATTGAGCATGACTTGTGCAAGAAGTATGGCCCAAGAATTTATGGCTTCCTTGACCTATCATTCACAACCTCCCCCCCCCGTTTGCAGAGAAAATGGGAATGTACAAGGCGCGTCAGACATTTCTGAACCAGATAGTTTGAGGTATGATGAAAATGGAGATCTTAAAAGGAAGCAAGGCAATGTTGTCTCCGGCACAACATATCCAAATAAGTCGCAGAAAAATTTTCGTGCCGATCAACAATCATCTCCAAATGGCAGTCATAATTCTCACAAGAAAACCAAGCATGAAAAGCTGGACTGGAATGTTCTTCGATCTCCTAAGTATCAAAACAAAAGGAAAGGAGCGCTATAGATGATTCTTTACATCATTTATTTGTCTCTAAATGCTTCTATTTTCTGAACTAATGGCATTCCTTCGCATACCTTATGTCCACTAATGTTGTATTGGTATTTGTCACTTTGTATCAACTTGCTTAATTGTTTTACCGATTCACACTCTTCACCTTCGGAATTTTTGTGATGCCATCTTGATAGGATATATTTACATGCACGCGTGTTACTTTTTGGTATAATTGCATTTCGGATTTGTGTACATAACAGTATTTAACCTGGGCAATCTATTTAATTGAACTTAACTGAGCCTGTTCCTCTATTGCTTGATCAAAGTTAACTCTGTTATATTAGAAACTCGACCCTTGTTTATTTTTTCCAACATTCTTAGCTCTTTGATTTTTCCAGTCGGGCGCATTTTCTTTTTCTTGGTTGATTTTTCGATCATGTAGAAATCGATCACAATAGAACACTCGTGTTGACACTGACCTCCGAGGTGATTAAGGTCGGATTGATCCACGTCATTATTAGAAC